GGGCCCTACTCCAAGAAGACTGGTGTCTTTTAAAAGAGGAAGACACACTAAAGGCACCTATGAACAGTAGAAAGCCAGGTGAGAATACAACATAAAGACCCATCTGCAAGCTGACAAACCTCAGGGGAAAGGAACCCCACCCACAGCTTGATCTTGGACTTCCAGCCTGAAGAACCCTAAGAAAATAAATTTCTGTTTTTTAAGCTACACAGTCTGTCCTGGTCTGTGGTACTTTGTTATGGCAGTCTTAGCAGATTAATATACCCGGTATACACTTATTGAAAATGAGAGGCCTGGCTAGCATGCTCAGCGGTTGAACCAGGAGGTCATGGTTCAATTCCTGGTCAAGGCAATGCCCTGGTCACAGGCTTGATCCCCAGTTGGGCATGCAGGAGGCAGTGATCAATGATTCTCTTTCATCATTGATATTTCTACCTCTTTCCTCTATGAAGTTAATATAAAAAATTTTAACGAAAGAATTATATTGATATGTTGGATAATTTCTAATACAGCAGACTTATACATAAGTAGCCTAAAGTGTTTAAGTTCATTGCCTTATTTTTAAAACTTATTTATTGACTTCAAAGTTGCTTAACAACAGACAACATAAATATCATAAATGACAAAATATTGGATCAACAACTTCAGGACAGCTTAGATGCAACAGATGGAAGACAAAATGTTAGCCGAATAGGTGGTATGCATGCTGAAACACAGATTCTTAGGAGAAATAGCAAGAAAAAAACACTTCTCTGAATTTGTAGAGACATCTATTGTTAACTGATTATAATATAAAGCAAACAGAAGATCCAATTATAGAAAAGATTTAAGCACTAAGTAAGTTCTTATACTAATCAGACTTTACCACTGTTTATTATATATACTTCTTATGAACTTAAGACTTTTTTTTCTAATATGGTTACTGGTTCCCTAAAATAAGTAAGGAAGCTTCACATCCTATGTAATAAAAGGCTAATATGCAAACAAACCGAACAGCAGAACCACCGAACTGGTCGCTATGATGTGCACTGACCACCAGGGGCCACACATGGAACATGGGAGTCCGTCGGCAGCAGGCAGCAGAGCACGAAACATGGCAGGTGTCGGCTGCAGCAGCAGAATGGTGGAGCAGGTGAGCAGGAGTGCCTAACCAAGGTGGTGCGCCAGTTGCTGTCATAAGGGCGAGCCTCTGGTGGTTACTGAAAATTCTTTGCTCTGGTGCACTGCAGTCCCACCCACCACTTGTACCTGCTGCTGGCGCTGGCCCCACTCATACCCACTGCAGGTGCCAGTCCCAATCGCTCAGCTCCATCAGTGGGTACAAGCAGTGGCTGCCGGCTCTAATCGCTCCTGAGGGCTTCACCACCTCCAACTGCTCCTGAGGAGCAATTGGGGCAGCAGCCACCATTCACACCCACTGCCGGCGCCAGTCCCAATAACTGCACCATCAGTGGGTGCGAGCAGCAGCACATGGGAGCAGCAGAGCGGGCGCGGAAGAGCAGGTGTGGGGCTGCCTACGGACGGGACAGAAGGCCACGGTGGGAGGGACTGCAGAGGATGGGCCAAGAACTGCCCCTGTGCCAACCATAACCTCACGGCCCACAGTTCCTTTTAAGGTGCCCAAATTTGTGCACTGGGCCCCTATTAATAAATAATGTGTTATGTTCCCAGCACTAATAACAGTGTCTTAGGAACTAAATAAACAATTCTTGAATTAATGTAAAAGGTCCTTTTCAATAACATTTTGTATGAAAAAGTTGTTAAAAATGGAATGAGAATATTTTAAAAATTGAGAAAAAATAGTCTTCTAATTTCTAAAACAGGGGGTCTTTAATAATATAACTAACACTGGGAAAGAGGATATTCTTATTACTATGATATGATAAAGCACCAACTATAACCAGAAAGGAGAACTACCTAAAGTATATTTCATTTTCTTTCTTATTTCATTTTTTAATTAGTTTACTTCCTTACTTTTTAAGCTTTCATTTCTATCTACTATACATACTAACAGAGGAAGAAAAATAATTTAGGAATAAAATTGCCTCCCAGTAATTTCTACTTTCTATGTGTTACATACATTAGATATATGGTTTACATCCCATGTACTTTTACAATTTATAGTTTCTATTAAGTTTCACAGAGTAGTATGTGGTAACCATGTAGATTATATGGAATTTTGTTGATATGATTATGGAATTATATGCCATAATCTGCTTAATTATTCCTCTCTTAATGAGTGTTCAATTTATTTCCCTATTGTAAGCAAGTTGACTCCATGCTTAGCCATGGGCCCAAATGCAGTTGGAATTACTTTTAGCCATAAGAAAATGTTTAATTTTTTTAATATTTTATAATTTGACCTACACATAGTATCAGATGAAGGAATACATATTGTTCAGCTGGAGAGTTAAACCCAGAATAGTAGTGAACCCTTGAGCTTCTCCCTCTTAAATTGGTTGAGGACCCTAAGAATAGTATATTTCATTGCTTTAAGCTTGTGGATAATTGTGTTCAGTTATGATATAAGAAATTATTATTTGTTTATGATCGGAACATTCACATGCTCAGAACAAGTTTGAGTTCGCAAAATTTATGATTAAAACACTACAATTTATTTATATTTAATAATTATAACAAACTTATGAATCAAGAATCCTTCTTCCTTATTTTTTAAAAACAACGGTATTCATGTAAATTCACTTTCTTAATAGAAACAATACCTAACATATAGATAGCTGCTAAACACTATTAGCCAAACACTATTTTAAATGTATTAAATATGCACATACATTATTTAATGCCTCTGACATCTTGCAATTTATATTAAAGAAGAAAAGTAACAAACACTAGTGGGTTTCAAATTAATAAATATATTGATTTTCTTAACACAGTCTTAAAGACATCTATGTTCTTATATTTCCATACCTTGCCTCAATACTGTAATAACTTACATAGCATTTATCACGTGTGAGAAAGGAATTACTATTCCACAAAAGTATAAAGAGAAATTAAGAGATTAAATTTTACAAATGATAATTGGCATAGATGGAAGTAGAATTCACATCTGCCAGGCCAATCATACACTTTCCCTGGTGGGGAAAGAGAAATAAAGAAAAATTCACAACTGCAGATTAGAAAATCACTGACACAGACTATACACGTTTGATAAAAAAAATAGCTCCAATCTTTGCATTAAAATTACAGTTCAATTTAAAGAGTTTGGCTCTCCACTAGTGAAACACTTAAGAGATATAGTAATTGTTTAATAAGATGTAATAAATGCAGAATATTTCATATCTCCTTAAGTAGAACAAAATGCAGGTATACATGCTCAAAACACTTCACACATGGTCAACAATTTGGCATACTTGCTAAAAAGTGAAAGTTAACTATTATACAAAACTCCAAAAATGTTTATAAACATAAATACTGGGGGGAAAATAAACCTATATCTTTCTTTTATCAAATGTACACATGTTAACCACTGAGAGGCACTGATTCTAAGAATTTATTTTAAACTCTTAATTCTCTTTGATGCTCCTTTACATCAGCCAATGATCACTGGACAAGAAAACAGGTATACTAGTGTCCAGGAAATGCAACTACCTAGCCTGTCAAAAAAAATTTTTTTAATATATTGTTATTGACTTCAGAGAGGAAGGGAGGGGGGAGGGAAGGGAAGGGGAGAGAGAGATGTCAATGAGAAAGAGAATAGTTGATTGGCTGCCTCCTGCAATCAAGCCCATAACTCAGGCATGTGCTCTTGACTAGAATTGAACCCAGGACCCTACAGTCTAAAGGCTGATGCTCTAGCTACTGAGCTAAACCAGCTAGGGCTCAAAAATTTTAATGGAATATTATTAGAGTCACATCAAGAAAGATTTTACTCTTGGTAGTGATCTGTAAGCCAAGAGTAAGCAAAAAAACAAAAACACTTAAGTACTAGTATATTATTAAAACTCACTGAGTCAAGGAAAATCTAGGGAAGGCAGAGTTTAGGAAAAATACTGAGTTATTGGTATACATATATTTGCAAAATTACTTAATTCTTATATATCACTCACATTCTCCAATTGTATTTTAAAATATATTAAATTACACTGCAATAACAAAATTCTTTAATTCCCACAATTTTAGAGTTAAAAGTTCTGCTGATGTGGCCAATCTCAAAAGAAAGATAAGTTAAAGTTTTCTAATAATCACAGCTTATCCAAAAATTTTCTCAATTGGATGAAAATAGTATCAAAGTTTCAGTGTTAATATTTTCAAGAAAAAACAAACAAACAAACAAATAAACATAGGTCTTAACACGTAATTGAGAGGTTTTCCTTTTTCTGGCTTGAACAATACTACCATCAACATAAAACTTTTTAAAATTTAAACAAGTCCTAATGAGGTTTTTAAAAATTTGACGATTCTGTTTTCTCAATCAAACACAAATTTCAATTTTGTCATCTGAAAACATATTCAAGATTTGCATCTTCCACTTCCCCTATGAAAATTGTATATTTTTATGACATAAGCATATCAAAATTCCAACATTTAAAACCTACCAAAACAATTATGCTATAAATAGTTTTAATAACATTTGTTAATTTTTATAAAGGGATAACAGTAATTATGTTTTTTAATTCTAAACTTTGTCATGAGGAAATTATCCAACTATGCTTCCTCTAAAATTGCATTTAACTTGAAAAACTTAAAGGTTAAAAAAAATAAACACTTTTACACAGACTTCAAAACAGAGTTCAAGAGTATAACATAATACAAAAATTCTTTAACCGAATTCATATTTTACTGTGATTTATTAATATTCATTGAGGGAGGGGTCCTCTGAAGTAGTGTTTATCACTTTTTAAAAAGTGTACTTATTACATAAATTTGGGTCATAATGAGTAAATAGCACGGTTTAGCTTATTATAAAACACAAATAATTAAAATTCCAAAAGTAATTAAATCAGGAATCTCTTTTTCCCCCCTTATGCATCACAATGTACCTTTTCTTACTGGCTCATTGGTTGATTCTCCTTTCAGACTCAGCATCCTGGAGAAGCCATTGGAAAGAGTAGAGAAAATGCCACGGATGAAATATCCCTGCTGCACAGACTCCACTGACCTCCCTGAAGTCGGTGATGGTCTCACAGATCTGACACTGCAGCGGGGTTCTGGCTCGGAAATAGATCTGGTGAATGGAACCCGAAGTGACCGGGTGTTGGCCTGGTCCAGCTTCTCTGCTGACATTCCAAGGACCTCACTAGCAGAAGCAGCAGCATTACTATCCACCATCTTTGGCGTGACCTTTTGTTGTAGTAGTTCATCCAGGTCTCCTTTATTATTTTGCATGCTCTCTTTCTTGCCCCCTTTGCACCTGAAGCTGGGATGTGTTTGCCACCTATAAGCACTCAATGGCTTTCCTAGATTGGAAACATCATGTTCATTTTTCTTCCTCTTGCTTTTCAACGGACCACACCATGGATAGCCCTTTAAGCTTGTTCTGATCTCTGAATTTGTATAAGCAGGTTCTGATAAAGATCTTCGATAGCTTGGAGGATAAGGTGATGTCTGTCTCTTAAAGATGTTCATCTTCCAGGACTCCATTTTTAAACAACTTCTCTAAGCTGCGAGTTCCCTCTATGCCGCAGCCTTAGCAGTTGAACCACACTTGTCCATGCAGTCCAAAACATTCAGCTGCTTAAGTAGCTTTCTTTGTGTGGCTTTGAACCACAGCAGATGTTGTTGCTTAAGGACTGGTGTCATGTTATTCTATTACCCCATTTTCCCAGATCTCCGAAATTTCAGCAGCACCCAAAAACCTCTTGCCTGCAGCAAATTATCTCCAGAATTCAGCAAAAGTAAAGGTTTCCAGATCATCTTGCTCCCTTCCTGCAGGTTACATGTCTGTACTAGGTTTTCAGGAAATGATTTTTTTTTTTTAAACTAAGAAGTGAAATAAAAGCAACAAAAACCCACAGACACCTTTATGGACCAATAGTATCGAAGTGTTCACCATGCAAATGATAGTAGGTTAAAAACAGAATGTGAAAGTCCTCAAGCTGACAGCCACACTTTCCGGAAGAAAAAAACCCTGCCTAAAAGCCTGCTTTTTAAGTTAGCAGTTCTTCAGAATAGTTTCTAAAGTTTGGATTTCAGAAATTTAATTTCAAGCACTGCTATTTATAACACTTATCTCAAAGTCAATATTGTTTTCCAACCAATAGGTAGTCTTGCTTTGAGTAGGCATTGAAAAGTAGAGGGAAAAGGACAAAAGAATGCCAAATTTAAAGCCATTTTTATTGTAAATATATTATGGCAAACTAAACAAACAAACAAAAACACATATAAATGGATAAAAAGAAAAGAGGGATAAAGGGTATTTGCTAGGAAGATAGAAAGGAAAAAAATCCTGATGCAAGATATTGTGGCAACTGGAACATAGGACCATACATACTTAAATGATTTCTAGAAGGGAAAAGTTTGCTTTGTAAATTGAATTGGGGTAAGCTGTCTGGAAAACTATTCCCAATTTATTTAACCAAAGAAATTCCTTTATTCCTCTTTGTGCTGCTTACAATTTTAAAAAAAGAGCTGACTATTTAAAATTTTGTTAAAGTAAGTACCTTCTATTGAACCAAGACCATGAATGCCAAGATTTTGGTTGAGTGTTTTTTTTTTAACTGTCTTCTCATAAACTCTTGAAAATAGGGGTTTCAAATGGAAAGCCTGACAGACTTTAGACCACCAGTAAAAGATATATAACATGGCAATCAAATCTCTTTGCAAGTTAAAAAAATGATGATTTCATCTGAATAAAAACAAAATTTATTTATTTTTCATAAATAAAAAAAACTATCCATTTATTTGCATAATGTGTACAATGAAAAAGTTCTCACATCAGTCTCTCTTATTAGTGTAAAAATAGTAAATTTAGTAATATACCCATTCTTTTAAACATATTCAAATGTTTTATTTCCATTATCATAAAGCAATAAACTCATTTTCATTTGCTTATATAGTTTCTAAACTTGTACATTTCTATATTAATGTTAAAGTACTTGGCTTTCCCAAAAGCATAATATATCAAATTAGAATAACTCACAAGCATAATATGTTTCTTGTTTAAAAAAACATACTCAGAAATGTGAATTTGAAGAAAAAGAATAAACATTAAGCTCTAGTCTCTATTATGGCACATCAACCCATCCACAAAAGTTAATCTGTGATGGAAAATAAACCGAGATGGAAAACAATGATGCTTGTCAAAGAATCCAGAAGATAATATTTTTGTGAACTGAAGGTAGGCAAAATTTCTTAGTATACAGAAAGCAATAACCATAATAGGAAAGCATTAATATGAATTCATAAAAATCAAAAATTTCTGTTCAATAGAACACATTAAGAAAATCATAATTGCTGTATCAGTTTACACTCCTACCAGTAGTGAATGAGAGTCTCTTTTCCTCCAAAACCTCTCCAACACTTGTTATTACTGTTCTTTTGATAATAGCCATTCTTAACAGGTGTGAGGTGATATCTCATTATAGTGTGTGTGTGTGTGTGTGTGTGTGTGTGTGTGTGTGTGTGTGTGTGTGTTGTTTTGTTTTGTTTTGTTTTTAGGGAGAAAGGAGGGGAGAGTGAGAGAGAAACATCAATGTGAGAATGAAACATAGGTCAGCTGCCTCCAGAACATCCCCTGAACAGGGATGGAGCCCACAATCAGGACATGTGCCCTGACTGGGAATTGAACTGGAAACCTTTCAGTGCATGGAACAATGCCCAATCAATTGAGCCACACCAGCCAGGGATCACTGAAGTTTTGATTTGGATTTCCCTAATAGTGAAGCTGAGCATCTTGTCATGTATCTACTGGGCATTTGTATGTATTCTTGGGAAAAGTATCTGTTCAGTTCCTCTGACACTATGAAAAACAGTATGGAGGTTCCTCAAAAAAATTAAGAATAAAGTTACCATATGACCCAGCAACCCGCTTCAGGGTATCTACCCAAAAATTTGAAAATATTTATTGGCAAAGATATATGCACCCCTATGTTCATTTCAGCATTATTCATGGTGGCCAAGACAAGGAAACAACTGAAGTGGTCTTTAATAAATGATTGGATAAAGATATGGTATGTATATATAATGGAATACTACTGAGCAGAAGAAAATACTACCACTTGCAACAATGTGGATGGATCTTAAGAATATGCTAAGCAAAATAAGTCAGACAGAAAAAGTTAAGAACCACATTATTTTACTCATATGAGGGATATAAAACTGAAAGCAACAAAAGAATAAGCATGAAAAACAATAAAAAACTCATAGACACAGACAAGAGTATTGTGGTTACCAGAGGGAAGAGGGAGTAAAGAGTAATAAAGGATAAAGGGAGTCAAATATCTGATAAGGGCAGAAGATTTGACTTGGAAAATGGGCACACAATGCAATATACAGATCATGTATCATACACATGTACACTTGAAACCTATATAATCACATTAACCAATCTCACCCCAAATAAATTTATTTTTTTAATCAATAAGCAAGCCACAAAATGGAAGAAAATATTCACAATATAAACATCTCAAAAACAATTTGTACTATAATTTATTAGGAAAAAGAAAAGCAACCCAATTTTTAAAAATAGGCAAAAAAAAGTTTAACCAACCCTTCACAAAGAAAGCTATATGAATTGTCAATAAACATATGAAAAAAGAACTCAAACACATTAGCGACTAATGAGATATCAGTCACAGCCACTAGAAATGCTAACATTTAAAAGGCTGATAACACCAGTTATGGCCATCATCCTCATAAATGGTAATGGGATCATAAAATGTTACAATAACCAAAGAACAAATTCAACATAAAAAAAATAATAATAACCATATATCCAATGACCCAGCAGTTCCACTCTTAGGCACTTACATACAAAAATTAAAATGTACATACTTTTACTTGAATGTTCATATCAGCTTTATTTATTACTAGAGGCCCAGTGCACAAGATTCGTGCACTGGTGGGGGGCATGGCCTGCAGGGGATCAGCCCGCTGTGGGAGTACCGCTCATCCCGGTCAGCCAAGTGGCTGTGGACCCACACTGTGTGGACCCACACAGGCTGCAATTCAAAGAGTAAAAAGACACAATTACCAGTAAAAGCAATGCATGATTTTGGATTGGATCTTGAAATGGGGAGAAGGGCAAATAGCCATAAAGGACATTTACTGGGAGAATTAATAAAATTTGAAAATGAATTATGGATTATAAATTAGAATCATATTAAGGTTATATTTCCTTATAGTGGTAATTTTACTGTGGTTATGAAAGAGGATGTTGTTATTCTTAGTAAATTCAGATATAAGTATTCAGGGATATAGGGGCATGATGTTTCCAATTTTTAAAGGATTCAAGAAAAAAATATGTGTGTAATGGTAGATAAAAATATGATAAAGCAAATGGGTGAAAATGTACATAATTGTTGTTGAACCTGAGTATATGAAAATTTCTTGCACTCTTGAAAAATTTTTATAGGTTTAAAATTACATCAAAATAAAAGTACCCTAAATTAAAAAAAAAAAAAAGTACACAAGTTAACTTAAATTCCACAACTACTTCTTTTAAGTTTATAATACAGATATTATTAATACGATAATGGTGTCTGTGTCAGAGTATTTTGGGGGGTATTATAACAAAATAACTACTTTCACAGGTTTTATGGAAGAAGGAAGTTAATCAAGATCACCTATTAAAATATTTCAATGGAAAATTAAGTTCAAGGTACGACTTAGGAAAATGTTGCATAGGAAGGGTAGAACTTGAGTCCTGCAATCCACAGTGAAATTCAGAAACTCAATGTTAAATGAGAGTTTACTCACTAAATAAGTAAGGTTATGGGTAAAAATAATTATTGTAGTTTCTAAACTCATCAACTCAATTCTTTTGAGGAACTACCACAATTCTCTTCGTCATCAACTTCTCTATTTGAGGAATATGGAACTGGAAAATATTAAATAACAGAAAAAGATTTAAGTGGAATCAGAAAGCAAAGAACTTAGAGTGATGAAGTGGCAGTCTCTAAGAGCAAATAAGCAAAGAAATAAAGGGCAAGATTACTCTCTCTCACAGCTGTCTAAAGTTTGCTTGGACAAATGCTTCTCTCGTTAGGAAAACCTAGTTTATATTGTTATTTCTCTAAGTTTTATCTTTAACCTAAATTTAAAATAATAACTTGGCATTCTTCACTTTCTGAATTTTAAATATAAACAGGGTTAGGCAAAAGTAGGTTTACAGTTGTGAGTACATAGGTGTTTGTGTATTGTTATTTATTAACTACAGGCCCGGTGCATGAAACTCATGCACTGGGGGACTGGGGTCCAGAAGCCCTCGGGGGATATCTCGCAGTCCGAAAGCCCTCAGGGGATATCCAATAGCTTAGGCCTACTCTTGCATTGAGCATCTGCCCCCTGGTGGTCAGTGCACATCATAGTGACCAGTTGTTCCACCATTTGGTTGATTTGCATATTAGCCTTTTATTATATAGATTATATTACTTTTCCATAAAAACAACTGTAAAGCTACTACTGCCCCACCCTGTATAATGAATTTATGCATTATTAAAGAAACTATTCACAGGATTTATAATTTCTTAAAATCTGTAAAAACAATGACAATAGTACCACTAAGTTACATTCATTAGGAAGCCTACTATAAAAATTGTTTGATTAATGAAGTGTCAGAACAAGAACATTTCTGCTACCTCAAGTATCAACTACCTTAAATTTTTCTTACTAATAATATGTAACATTTAAAAACACAGATTTAAAATAAAAAATAAAAAAGAGGGGGAGAAGCAAAAAAGAAATGAAGGAACGAAGGAAAAAGTGGAAGAAAGGAAGAAACAAAAAAAAGAAGGAAGGAGGGAGGGAGGGAAAGAGGGAGGGAA